TCTTTTTCTTTTCTTTTTTTTTTTTTTCTTTACTAAATTAGAGAACTGCTCTTGCTGAAATTATGATAATTAAGATTCCTAAGAACTTGACAATGCTCCCCTGGCTTGCAGGAAATTATACTTATTATAGCATCACCAAGTTTAGAAATCATCACTCATTTCACCTTTTGTTGTCTCTTCATATTCTTCTTCCTTTTCCTAAATGAAATTATTTCAGCTACTAAAACTTCCTGTCACCCTGCTATTTCTCTTCCAATTACTGTTCAAACATTTTTGGTGAGTGCTGCTTTTATAAGTATATGATGTCACATATTTCAGTGACAGCTGATGTCATCAGAAAATCCTGTGTTATCCTGTGTATTTACTAGTCCTCATGATCTAGACCCTTTTCTGTGTTACAGAATAACTTCACATAAAAGCAGATACCTTGAAGTTTGTGTAGACTTTTGAATAAGATGATAGATGAGAATTTTTTTTAAAAAAAAAGGAATTTAAAGGAATCTTGTGCAACTTCTGTTGATAGCTTGTAATTTTGTTATACAGTCCTTTTAATGAGGATTGGTAATGCAATCCTACCAATTGATGGGGGTGAGGAGACTGTTGGGCCCTTATTCTCTTATGAAAATCTGTTTCTACAAGGACTAGGCCTAAGCAGGTTTAGGCAATGAATATCATATCCATGAAAAATGTCATTTTAAGACACTAATATCAACAGTATATCTCAGTGTGTGAGATATATACATACACACATATACCCCATGTGCTTTTTTATGTTGGTTTAGTGTAAACTGAGTACCACTTTATATTTTCTCTTCCATAGTGAGATGTATGCAGTATGTGGCCATGTTTACTAACATACTCATTCTTGACAAAATGCTGAGATTATAAAATGTATATAGTTAATATTTGTTTGGGCTTGTGACCTGACTTCTAAGAGCTACTTCTAACACAGCCTTAGGTCTTCAATTAACAAAGTAGGAATTTGGGCACAACCTTGTCCACAAGCCATTTTAAATATCCACTTAGTCCTGTGTAGTTAGTAGGTGGATGTTCACCACTTTCATTAGTGAAATTGAGCTCACTACTCAATTGTGCAGCTTAATATGCTAACTAGGGACATTCCCCCTATGGACTGTCTTTATATCACTGTCTTTCTAAGCCCAGAGATGTCATAAGTGACAAGAAAAGTGATAGGATCAAGAAATGGGTGTCACTGCTTCATTTGGAACATGTTATTAACTATGGTCTCTTTCAAATAAAATAGTAGTTTTACATTTCAACACAAGTTGCTATAAGCAGTCCTTGATGTGTTTTCGATTGCATCAGCTGGAAAGCCTCAAATCTAAGAGGGCTTCCCACCCGAGATATAAAATAGGTGTGGCCTATTGCTGTGCTTATAAATGAAAAAGGAAGTTGAAGACACTTTTGCAAATGCCAGAATGTAAGATTCATTCGGTGTGCTCCCTGGGCCTTTACGGCATGGGTTGACAGGATTTGTTTATTTTCTAAAATTAGCTTCATTCAATATTTATCATCCTCCGTTCCCTCTCTGAGAATGAACTATGTATAAAATAAGCGTCTGCCTATTTGCATTTATCCTTCAAACCCAATCTAGTAGGATGTTTTCATTTTAAAAACGAGGGGAAAAGACCAGAGTTTTTCAGGAGAAAACTGGAGGAAAATGGGCACAAAAACTCAGAAGGCAGCTATTCTCAGCAGCTTCCTAGTTAACAACCCCCATGCTGCCTCCAGTCTCTGTCTGTATTCTGTATTTAACCTTCAGATTGTAAGCCTTTTCTGGCAAGCTTTTCTTCTTTTTTTTAACTATTTTCCTGAAACTTTTTATGAATGGCTGTGGCACCATTAATGCTGCTGAATATCTTTAAACTCTTTGCACAGGCAAGTGTGTAGCTTAAGGCCACTACTGGTAAGGAAACCAAGTGTCCTCTGTGCCTTTTTTCTTTCTGTGAAGTAATTTAAGGACATCCAAAAAAATTAGACTTTAAAAAGTTATCTTGGTACAACACCGTGTGTATATATACACTTGGAAGCTTAAAAAGGTGTCTTGTCTGGAACTTAGAAGCAGCTCTAAATCTAGTAGAGCAGACTTTCTAACATACCTGGTTTTGTGTGTTGGCTTTGCTGGAGTATGATAGCAAAATGAAGACTCTTACACTCAGCTCTGGTATTGCTCATAACTTACCAAGAGGCTAATACTAAACTTGGAAAATTGTTTAAGTATGTTTTATCAAGCAGTCTGGGTTTTGTTTTTTACTATAGTTTTTAATGGATATGTGAAAACTGAAGGAAATGTTAAAGGTTTTTTTAATGGTGCAAGTGAAGGTGCCAGTTGCTATTTGGTATCACACTCTACAAAAGCTTCATTACTTTATTTGATGGTGGTTGCTAAGCAGCCATTGCACAGAGCATAAGTCTACTGGGTGCCTTTACAAGCCAGAGGCTGATGCTGCACTGTTGTGATGTCATGTGAGGAAATAATGCACATGCTCTAATTGCTCAACAGGAAATGAACCTAGAAACAGAAAATGAAAAGGTTGATTGAAATAAAACTTGATCAACACGACTGTATTTTGAAACATTCCAGGAAGGTTACTTCTTGTTAAACTTGCCTGGCAGTGTTTGTTCAAAACTTGTATTTAATAAATGAACACCTGACTTACAACCTTTGTTATCACTTTATTCCATTATTAAAAGCTAGTGGCAGTTTCAGAAATCCCCCTGAAAACTTAGAGGATTCTGATGTTTCACTTTTTTTTTTAGGTAAGTAACATCAAATATGTGTGACCTGGCTGATCCAGCCTACCTTACCAGGCCTCTGGAGGGGAACCTGGGGTTACCCTCAGGAGATGAATCTCCCAGAATGGTTTTCCTAACCAGCTCTCTTGGCTTCACTGTTTTTCTTTATCTGGCCTGAACCCCAGGTCTTTGTAATCATTTGCTGATATCTTCCCCTTTCTTGCTCCTTGTTTCCATACCCCTGCCATGCAAGATGTCAGCCTAGATCAACTCAGCCATTCCCCTCTGCTGCAGTATCCAAACTGCAGACCATTGCTGGAGGAAAAACACAATTTTTAGAATGGTGCAACCACAAACTTATCTCTAATGTTGCCCAACAACCCTTCTGTGTGTCCTTCAGCTATTCCAAACTGTGGCCTCCTTCCTTAAATTCCTTCCCATACCCCCCTCCCAGTTACCCCTCACAATCCAATGAGTTTGCCTTCATTTTGCTGGGAAGATAAAGACTTCAGAGACTTTGAAGACTTTCAAACCTCTCTCCCATCATCACATCTGTGGAAAAGGCCCCACAGATCCCTGGCTAGTTCTCCTTTCCTGCCTCATCAGGAAAAGATATTGCCTCTTGTCAATATCCCTTCTCATCAGGCAGGATGGCCTGTGCCTGTAATCCTAGAGCTAAGCAAGAGGCAGAAGTGGGATGATCTCTTGAGGCCAGGAGTTTCAGACCAGCCTAGGCAATGTGGCAAGACCCCATTTCTAAATAAATAAATGACTGCCTCTTCTCTGTCTTCAATTTCTCCCCTGAGTTCCACATCCCCCTTGGGTTTTCTGACTTGTAATCCTTTACAGCCATATTTCTTCACCATTCACCCTGACTTCTATCCTAATTTTTTGAAACTGCGCTAATTAGTTAAAGATTGCCATACTGCTAAATTAACTTTCCCATCCTTAATTTGACTTTTCTGCAGTATCTAGGGCAGCAGAATCACTCCTTCACTGAAAAGTTCTTAGTTCCTTGATACCACTTCAAATTTTTCTTTCCACCCCTCTAACCATTCCAAAAATCAGAGATTTACTTTTGCTCAGACTTCCCCAGGATACATTATAGTTCTGTTCGTCTCATCAAATGCCACTTCCCTACATACATCTTTTCCTTCTCATATTAAACTATGAAGTTTCAGCCCTCTGTAGTATACAGCTGTTCTCTCACACATCAGCTCAAGCATCTTCTCTAGGAAGTATGCTGAAATCACCACCATGCCTAATCTGATAGAATGCCCCCTCTCTGAGTTTACATTGCAGCTTCTTCAGATCTCAACTCTGCCACTTCCAAATTGTGTGGCCATTTTTCAAGACCAGTCTCAATGGGGACAATGCCTTACAGGCTTTCTTTAAATTCCAAAATGCCTGGCATAGTGTGGGCGTTCAATACAGGTGTTTTTTCCCTCACATCTGCACAACTCCTTGTGGCTAACTAGGGAATTAGGGGAAATGGATTCCAATCCTGATACAGGACTTTGGGGAGACTGGGATTACAAAAAAATCAACTTTAAAAAGGGCTGTGGGGCCAGGGGCGGTGATTCACGTCTGTAATCTCAGCACCAAGGCGGGCGGATCACTTGAGGCTAGGAGTTCGAGACCAGCCTGGCCAACATGGTGAAACACAGTCTCTACTAAAAATACAAAAATTAGCCAGGCGTGGTGGCGGGCGCCTGTAGTCCCATCTACTCGGAAGACTGAGGCACGACAATCGCTGGAACCTGGGGGACGTAGGTTGCAATGAGCCGAAGTCGTGCCACTGCACTTCAGCCTGGGCGACAGAACGAGACTGTCTCAAATAAAAAGGGCTATGGGTTGAACCTGGTACCAGGTTGTGTGGTGCTTGCTCGGACTCTAACTTTATATGTTTGGCCTTGGACCCTCTCTACCTCTGTACAACGATCGTGTGGGACTAGAAGAATCTCAGCGAATGCTTCTGCAGCACCGACTTCATAGGTTCTCAGAAACGCAGCTAAAGCACACAACGCGAAATAGCGGATATCGGCGCCAAGAAGAGCACCGAAGGTTCAGGGCGCATGCGCATTTCCGCTCCTTGCCGGGTTTCCGGACCTCTGCTAGTGGCTGCCCAACAAAATGCCTGCTTCTCTGCGGAATCCCGCTGTTCTTCACATGCTCTCTAATATCATCTTTTCATATCCACCTTCTCTTCCATGTTGAAAAAAGTAAGTGGACAGACTGGATTCTGCAAAGATCTTTGGACATTTAAATATCCTCGACCGGCGCGAAAAGAGGCGGCCTGACCTTGGAAGTGGGACGGGGTCCTGCAGCGGGTCCTTCCGGCGGGTGACATTCAGCCGGCCGTTCCGGGAGACGGACTTCGCATCCTAGAACCATGGCCCAATTTGTCCGTAACCTTGTGGAGAAGACCCCGGCTCTGGTGAACGGTGAGCGCGATGTAAGACCGCCGAGGCGGGCACACGGGCGGCAGGGAGGCCTGCGATGGCCTGAGAGGAAGAAGCGGGCGGCCAAGACCCGAGGGGCCTGCGGGTGCCGGGGCGGGATGGCCTGCAGGTGAAGGAAGCAGGAAGGTTGGCGACTCTCCTCTAGCCTTCCGCTCGCCTGACCTGCAGATTGGGTTCTCTACACAACCTAGAAGTTCCTGAAATCCAACCACCACTGGGAAGAGAGGTAGTGTGAAGGATGCCCGGCGTTGCCCGGCAGCTCCGCCATTACGCCCCCTGAGATCGCTAAGGGCAGGAATATAGAGGGCATGGCTCTGTTAGGAGAGCTAAGAAAAGGAAGGGCAGAAACGTGTGAAAGTACATCAATTGGGCCTCATCACATGGTCTGGTTGTCAGTGGAGTATTTGGAAGTCAACAGAAATGTCGACTTTGCTTTCTGTCCTAGACGGATTCTAAGATACTTCCACTTTAATCCGAGGGAAATTTTAAGTGGAAATGGACTTCATGGATGAGTATCCGTGCCCCGAGAAGCATAGAACGGGATCCGTATAAATAGTAATCTTTGTTATTACAGCTTAGCATTCGTGGAATTTTTTCGGCTTGAAGAGCCTCACTGGTAGACCGCTGTATTTCACAACAACCCTGAATAATCACAGCTTCTGAGTACTAGTTTATTTGGCCAGTAAATATTTCAGTTGTCTTCTCAGTGGCAGGCTATTCATTTTATTCGTGAAGCGAGATAAGATAAATTGACGTAAGGTTTTCCTAAATGTGCTGTATTCCAGTAAGTTGACTGAAGGTCAGATCTCTAACTTTCGCCCAGATTTCTGAAATGTGAATAGAAAGCAGAACTTCAAAAAAAAATGTAATACTTTTTAGTCTCTTTTGCTATGTTTGAGTTTGATTTGGGTACTTTCTTTTTCTTTCTTTTTTTTTTTTTTTTTTTTTTTTTTTTTTTTTTTTTTCCCTAGAAGACAGGGACTCTCACTCTGTCGCCCAGGTTGGAGTGCTGTGGCAGATCACAGCTCACTGCAGCCTCTGCCTCCGAGGCTCAAGCGATCCTCCCACCTCAGCCTCCTGAGTAGCTGGGATCACAGGCGCGCCACCACACCTGGCTAATTTTTGTATGTTTTAAGAGACGGGATTTCGCCATGTTGCCCAGGCTAGTCTCTTAACTCCTGGGCTCAAGGGATCCTCCCGCCTCGGCCTCCCAAAGTGCTGGAGTTACAGGCGTGAGCCACAGTGCCAGCTTGGTATTTTATCCATTCTCTCCTCCCTTCCCTCCATCACCAGCCAAACTATGAGTTATTGAAGGCTCTCCTGCAGAACCTCACAGCCTACTAGTGAAACATTTTACACATTTTCCCAAAGAATTTCTTAAGCTTACAAAAAAATCTTTTACTTCACTAAGATTGTTATCTGTCATAGAGCTCTACAATTTTATATTAATCATAAGAGATAGCCCTGCGGCGGTGGCTCAGGCCTGTAATCTCAGCACTTTGGGAGGCCGAGGCGGGCAGATCACTTGAGAGCAGGAGTTCGAGACCAGCCTGGCCAACATGGTGAAACCCCATCTCTACTAAAAATACCACCAGGCCTGGTGGTGCATGCCTGTAATCGCAGCTACTTGGGAGGTGGAGGCAGGAGAATCGCTTGAACCCAGGAGGCGGAGGTTGCAGTGAGTCAAGATCGCACCACTGCATGCCAGCCTGGGCGACAAAGCGAGGCTCGGTCTCAAAAAAAAGCCTGGACACCGTGGCTCACGCCTGTAGTCCCAGCACTTTGCGACGCCAAGGCGGGTGGATCACCTGAGGTCAGGAGTTCGACACCAGCCTCCTCACCAACATGGTGAAACCTCATCTCTACTAAAACAGAAATTAGCCAGGCTTGGTGGCGGGCTCCTGTAATCCCAGCTACTCGGAAAGCTGAGGCAGGAAAATCTCTTTAACCCAGGAGGCAGAGGTTGCAGTGAGCCAAGATCGCGCCACTGCACTCCAGCCTGGTGACAGAGGAGACTCCGTCTCAAAAAAAAAAAAACTAAAGAGAAAAAAGGATTGGAGGCTTCACTCTGGACTTCGTGGATGATTTAAGGCACAATTCTTAATATTTCAAGTGGATTTTTTTTTCTGGTGTGGCTTTCACATTTTTTAGATGGCGCATATTAAGGAATTGCAATCTAGTTTTTATGATAAAAATCTAAAAAGTAACACCAAGGTAATTTTTTTGTTATGAAATATATAAACCCTTCCCTCCGTTATTGTAAATAATTGAAAGATAACTTGTTATTCTTCCAAAAGTACTTAGAAAGGAGGACTCAACTGGGCTGGAATGTTAACGTGGAAATACATTTTGCTTTATAACATATACAGGCTAGTGTATTAAATGTGAATGTTAAGTATTTAATAGAAATTACTGACTATATCTGTTAATTCCCCTGGGGGCCAAAGAAGCTTATGGAAATAAGTAAATTTATCATCAGGCTTGCCTAGGAATCAGAGAGTCTGATTTTTTTTTCCCCTTAACTGTAGACTTTATTTCTATTTCAGTAGTTTTTCCAGTAATCTTCCCGTTCTAGGATCCAATCCAGTGTACCACATTGCATTTAGTTTCTGTGTCTTTCCAACCTCCTTTGGTCCAGGACAGTTTCCCAGTCTTCCCTCATCTTTCCTGACCTTGACAGTTTTCAGGTATCTAGGTATCTTGTCTGTCTAGGTGTCTGTCTAGGTATCCTGAAGAATTTCCCCAATCTGGATTTGTCTGGTGTTTTTCTCATGCTTAGTCTGGAACTATGGATTTTGAGGAAATATCACAGTAATGAGATGTCCTAATCACGTGTCAGGAGGTATATGATATTCATGTGACATTTCTGGTGATACAAGCTTTCATCACTTGGTTATAGGTTCCTCCACTGTGAAGTTACTGTTTTTCTCTCTGTGTTCTATTCTTTAGAAGCAAATAACTAAGCCTGTCCCATAAAGGCAGGGTGTGATTACAGTGGGGGGATTCCATCTCCTGTAGGAAGGAATATCTACATAAATTAAATAGAATTCTTCTGTGAGAAAGATTTGTCTCTTCTCCATTTATTTATCCAGTCACTTATTGTATGGACTTGTACATTCATTTCATACTTTGTATATCAAATACCGTATTATTGCTCAAATTATTTCACCCTTGGCTATTTGGGAGCTCTTTCAGGTTAGCACCTCTGTCCCTTTGACATGCCGCCTCCCTTTCTGATACTACAAGATGCTTCAGATTTATATTGTATTTTCCCTGTCCCAGCCTTAGAATCAGCCATTTCGCCAAGGAACCTTAGTTCCTTTTATTGGACAATAGAATTGAGAAACTAAGGTCTGGGTGCTGTTTATGTTCCTTGCTACTAGAATATCACTACTTCTAGGTCCTCTCAATTGACAGGGATATAGATATCCGAATAGATGTATATATGTGTATACATGCATACTAACCCATGTATATACATGCATGTATGTATATATAATTATTTCCATGTCTATCAGTCTGTGTATATATTAAGCTAAACCTGAGTCCAACTCTAACCTAGTATCGTGGGGTTTATTCTTGCTGCTTTTCTTACTTACCTGTAACATCACTCAACCTCCACTGAGAAACCTAGCTCCCATCATCTACCATTCATTATGTTTTATCTCTTGTATACATGTAAAGCAGTTTCAAACTCTTTAACCTGTATCCCCTAAGAAACAAATTTACCACCTAAAATAGTGTTTAAATAGTGTTTATGTACAGTAAACTGATTCACTTTTTTTTTTTAAGGATGAAATGTCTGTGTGTTGGAGATAATGTTGACAATTGGTTGACTGTTCCACAAGACTGTACTTTTTTTTATTGTCCCATCTTACAGGCATTGGCAGTTCTATTTGGAACTATCTCTTAGAGCTTTGTGTCTGCTTGAAGGTATGCCCATATCCTTGGCCGGGCGCAGTGGCTCACGCCTGTAATCCCAGCACTTTGGGAAGCCGAGACGGGCGGATCACAAGGTCAGGAGATCGAGGCCATCCTGACTAATACGGTGAAACCCCATCTCTACTAAAAATACAAAAAAAAATTAGCCCCGGGCGTGGTGGCGGGCGCCTGTAGTCCCAGCTACTCAGGAGGCTGAGGCAGGAGAATGGCGTGAACCTGGGAGGCGGAGCTTGCAGTGAGCCAAGATCGCGCCACTGCACTCCAGCCTGGGTGATAGAGCGAGACTCCATCTCAGAAAAAAAAGAAAAAGTATGCCCATGTCCCCAAACACAGAAGATGAGGGAGATAGTAATTCAGAAATACTCAAATGGAGGCCATTAATACAAGAAAAACACCAAGAGCCTTGGGTAATCTGTCTTTGAACAGTAGACACTTTATGGGCCTTCATGCTATTTTTATTACGTTTCTCTTGTAATTTTTGAAACAAAGTCTCATTCTGTCCCCCAGACTGGAGTGTCATGGTGAGATCTTGGCTCACTGCAACCTCTGGCTCCCCTGTCCAAGCAATTCTTGTGCCTTAGCCTCCCAAGTAGCTGGGACTACAGGCGCACACCACCATGCCCAGCTAATTTTTATAGTTTTAGTAGAGAAAGGGTTTCACCATGTTGGGCAGGATGGTCTTAAATTCCTGGCCACAAGTGATCTGCCCGTCTCGGCCTCCCAAAGTGCTGGGTTTACAGGCATGAGCACTGCACCTAGCCTCTCTCATAATTTTTTAAATAAAAAATGTCTTCCTCTTTCTGAAATCACTACTACATTCTCACAACTACCCTGGTTGTTAATGGTCTCTTCTCTTGAAATAGTAAATACCTTGAGGAATCCAGCTTGGTAATAGATTCTAGTTTGGGCTCTTAACGATACATGTAGGTTTTACTTTTATTATTTGTGGTGTCTTTGAAAGAGGAACAGCTGTGCTTTTGTCAAGAGAAAGATTTAATCCAGCACATATTGATGACAATACCAAATTGGGTACCAGTTGTTTTAATTCCATCTGAACTTGTGTATAATATTATGATAACTTTCCATCTTGTTCTTAAGAGTGCCATTCTAAATCCTTCATCCCTTTATTCGCCTTTTTCTTCAAATTTACTTATCTCTCTACCAAGAAAATATGAATAAATTGACTGTTCTCTTGTTTCTAAATCCAACTTCTGGCATCTTTACAGTTAGCTAGATTTGCCATTCATAAATGAAGTACAGTACTAGCTGGCCACTAGTGAAGTACTGGCATAATTGAATGTGCTTATAGCATCCTGCCTGATTGAACATCCCTGTGGCACAGGTGTTCTGCATCTTTAAAAGCCTCTTGTTACCAGGGAGCAGCTTTGACTTTTCACACCGGGTGCACATTTGGTACAAGCAGTGAATGAAGGTGATGCATGAATAAATATTTGTGTCCAGCCCACACATCTGCTTCTTTCGGTCTCTAGTGAGTTCATCCTGGTTTTTTTGTTTTGTTTTGTTTTCCAGCTGCTGTGACTTACTCGAAGCCTCGATTGGCCACATTTTGGTACTACGCCAAGGTTGAGCTGGTTCCTCCCACCCCTGCTGAGATCCCTAGAGCTATTCAGAGCCTGAAAAAAATAGTCAATAGTGCTCAGACTGGTAGCTTCAAACAGCTCACAGTTAAGGTAACCATGGGCTAAATGAAAACGGATGTGCATAACAGAAAATGTCTTCCCTTGGGATTTTTCTGATTGTTTTGATTAATATATATGTTTCCAATGAGGCTGAATCCAACATAATGAGGAAAAAAATTTTGACTGCTGAGGAAGATACTTACTTTTCTAATTTTGTCACCTGGGTAGAAATAATTAGCCCATTTTATGTCTTAGTTTCCTAACAGTCTTAAACCTAGCAAAAAGGTGACCATTTTTATTGGGAATTTTTTTTTTCCTTTCCTATATTAGACAGTATACTAAAATATGGCTTGCTTTGCTGAGTCTGTACTTTTTTCATCTGTAGTCCTGAGATTGTCCCCAGTTCAGCCAAAACATCTCTTGAACTATGTCACAGTCAGGAAGCTAACACTTCTTATATGTAAGATAAAAATACCAAACCTGGTTTATTGAATTCTGTGAAGATAAAATCTAAAAACTGTAAGAATTGGAACTTGCAGCCACGCGCAGTCACTTCCTGCCTGTAATCCCAGTACTTTGGGAGTCCAAAGTAAGTAGGAGGATCGCTTGAGGCCAGGAGTTCAAGACCAGCCCAGACAACATAGCAAGGCCCTATCTCTACCCAAAATAGTGAAAAAAATGTGCCAGGTGTGGTGGCATGCACCTGTAGTCCCAACTACTTGGGAGGCTGAGGCGAGAGGATCGCTTGAGCCCAGGAGTTAGAGGAGGCAGTGAGCTATGATTGTGTCACTGCCTGGGTGACAGAGTGAGACCCTGTCTCTTAAGGAAAAAAGGCCGGACCTGGTGGCTCACACCTGTAATCCCAGCACTTTGGGAGGCCGAGGCGGGCAGATCACGAGGTCAGGAGATCGAGACCATCCTGGCTAATACAGTGAAACCCCGTCTCTACTGAAAATACAAAAAATTAGCCAGGCGTGGTGGCGGGCACCTGTAGTCCCAGCTCCTCGGGAGGCTGAGGCAGGAGAATGGTGTGAACCCGGGAGGCAGAGTTTGCAGTGAGCCGAGATCGCACCACTGCACACCAGCCTGGGTAACAGAGCGAGACTCCGTCTCAAAAAAAAAAAAAAAGGGAAAAAAAGAACTGGAACTTGGATTTTATTTGCATGATCCAAGCACAGAGTACACAAAGCCTAAATGATTGCTAATTTTAGAGCCTACATCCTGGGAAGTATGGTTGTTTTTCAGAAGACTTCCATAAACTTCTGGTCTAATTTGATGGGGAAAATTCACTTCCAGAAGTACTGAAAGAAAAAGGTCTAGTTTTGTTAGGGAAAGTTATTTTTTCAACTAGAATTTCAAGATCCATATTCTAGCTCCATGTATTAATAACAGTGCTTTCCTGAACCAGATGTGTATATTTCTCCTTGGGGCAGTAAAATGTTGATATGAATACCAGATACTTGGTCAGAGTTAAGTCAAATACTAAATGAATAAAAGTGAGGTCTAAAGGGGGAAGACAGCACTTCATCTTTCAGCAGATTTTCTTTTGCCAGACAAAAATGTCTATTCAGAGACTCGGCCTTCCTAGAGCCATCCTTTCATATGAATGCCCTGTCTAAATGCACCAGCTATATCCAGGATGTGGGTTGTTTTAGGGCCCATAAAGTGTCTCATAAACTTATAATGAAAGGGTTAAGTCAGTTCAGGTCTGTAAAGAATGCTTTGAAAGAATTTATAAGCTCTAACTACTTACCTTACAAAATTGAAAGTTCAAGGGTTCTCAGCAGTTGAACAAAAGTAATGTTAGTAATTCTCAACTTTGACTAAAACTGCCTTCTAGTTTGAATAGTGTCTCTATGTTCTTTGTCTCCTTAATTCTGGAAAAGAATGGTTTCAAAAAAAAAAAATAAATATATATATATATATATATATATATATAAAAAGATACCTTAAAATATATGCTTCTTTTTTCAGGAAGCTGTGCTGAATGGTCTGGTGGCCACTGAGGTGTTGATGTGGTTTTATGTTGGAGAGATCATAGGCAAGCGTGGCATCATTGGCTATGATGTTTGAAGACCAATCTTTAACATCTGGTTATATTTGATTTATTATTTGAGTGTTGTTGGACCATGTGTGATCAGACTGCTATCTGAATAAAATAAGATTTGTCAAAACTCAGTGTTTTTTCCATCAAATACTCCATGAAAGGTCACACTTTCTCTTGATATTAAGCTGGGTTGTCTTTAAACAACTCTAAATGCACATCTGTTTAGCCCAAAATTAGAAAGGATATATGTGGCGATATTAACCTGGTACATGAATATATGGGGATAACATTTTAATTTAAAGGTTTGGAATATATATATTTAAGCTTTATTTCCAGAACAGTGAGGGTTAGGTCTTGGGAAAACTAGAATTTGCCACAGTAGGAGAAATGGTAGTACCGTATGCCAGTGATAGAGATGAATCATGTCAGTAGTTAGAAAGAGTAACATTTCAACTGTTTCTCTTTGCTAAAATCACAGAAAGACCCTATTAACAACATCTATGTCTGTAAGTTAGAGTACTTGTCATCTTGAATATAGCCTCCCCCAGAGAGAACAGGGTGGTATTCTAAGTATGTATCTTTCTAACATCTTTAACAGTAGGACAGAGCCCTACATTAGAAATCTGATTTTCATGTGTGTTATTCGTTTGTCTGGTTTTACTGCCTTCGCAAAAACAAAATGCCCTACAGATATTTCAACGAGGTTATAATTTAGCATCTTCCTGGGATCTAAATAGTATATTACATCCTGAAGTAAATGAAATGATTGGTATTAGTCTGTCTTCTGGAGCAATTTTATTGGGTATATAGGAGAGATTGATCATTCCTTGGCTTTTCCCAGGGATCTTAAAATCCTTAATTGACTCACTGGTACTTTCCTAAATCCACTGTTATTCCTGCAGCCACAGCAAAACATACAATACCAACTGATGATAACCAAAAGGTGGTTGCATATTTATTATAAAAGCATTATGGCTCACAATATAGTATTATTAATCCTTTAATAGTGTTGAACCTTTATCCAGTCAATCCCAAATTTACCCACTGCATTTAGAACACTGCTATTTTAGCCTAATAAATGGCACAGCTTATCTAAGTGATAGGCAAGAAAGTTCCCATAGAGACTACCACGCTGCTAAAATGTGAAGTAATGCCTAACTTACTCCTGCAATAAACAGGTGGTCAAAACTGAAACGACCTCTTTTCAAAAAGTGCTCAAAAAGACTGATATGAGAATGGCAATCAGTTTCTTTTTCATACAGTGCATGATTATTCAAATTAACCGGAAAAAAACAAGATAGGAGATCAGCTACTAGTTAAAACCTACAGACACCTAGTTGATTAATGATATGTAATGTGATTGTTTATAACACCACTGTCACACCAGAAGATCCTCAAAATAAACATTTACTACTCACTTCACTGCAGCTTCCTCTTTTGCCATACAGAACACCCCTGTTCTCCCCTGTGGCTAATAGTGCATGTACGGAATTTTCTTAGGTTAAAAAATAGCAGTGAGCTCCTTGAAGTGGCCACTTGACTTCACCAGGCTTGTTTCTCTTTTTTTTTTTTTTTTGTCCTCATCAACCCCAAATGTCTTCTAACAGAATTACTGAGGCTTTCACTGAATTTGTGTGCTGCCAAGTGTTTGTCATTGGCAAACTCGGTGTTTATTGTGCACCTAAGCTCTAGGCACAATTAAAATGGCAGAAACATTCAGGAACAAGACTGTTACCTGTTTCACAGAGTTTGATCTGGTAAGACAGGTAATTAGGCATGCAATTACTATAAGATATGAGAAGTACTATAATGAGGGAAGGGGAAGGTATGCTTGAAAGGCTAATCCAGGGCTGGGCGCAGTGGTTCACGCCTGTAATCCCAGCACTTTGGAAGGCTGAGGCGGGCGGATCCCAAGGTCAGGAATTTGAGACCAGCCTGGCCAATATAGTGAAACCCTGTCTCTACTAAAAATACAAAAATTAGCCAGGTGTGGTGACGTGCACCTGTAGTCCCAGCTACTCGGGAGGCTGAGGCAGGAGAATCACTTGAACCCGGGAGGTGGAGGTTGCAGTGAGCCAAGATCACTCCACTGCACTCCAGCCTGGGCAACAGAGTGGGACTCGTCTCAAAAAAAAAAGGAAGGCTAACCCAGATGAGAAGGAGGTTCAAGAGAAGTTGTCAGAGACGATAGTAACTATATAAACCAGGAAAGTAAGTTAGCCAAGAAGAATGGAGCAAGGTATGCTGGGCGGGTGAAACAACCTGTGCAAAAGCTATTCAGAAAAAGTGTAGTACATTGATGATCTGAGAGTGTAAGTGTGGCCAAACTGCCAGGCAGAGGAGAGCACTGAGGTAAAGCCAGAGATGGTGGGGACCAGATTGTATTTTATGCCTATTAAGGCTTGGACTTCTTTAAGGACAATGAATGGAAAGCCATTGAAAGATTTTGACAAGGCACAGTCCTGCCCTGAAGTAACTTGTGTGGTCTAACATCAGCAGGTAATTTCAATTCCATGTAACAAAAGCCGGAATAGAAACCTGCAAACTTGCATAGGGTTCATGTAACAGTGCATGTGGTCTTGCAATTTTCTCAGTATGTAAAAGTAGAAGTAAGTACTCATTTAGTAGTAGGCATCACGAGGAGAGAGAACACAATGGTTAAGTCAAAGCCAGTTATACGAATATTTGTCACTGTGGTCCAAAGGTTTATTCCTAAGGAAACTGCTATCTATATGTAAGTAAATGAGGCTTTTTGTTGAGGCTTTCATCATTTCAAAACTAATGTGGCCAGGCGCGGTGGCTCACGCCTATAATCCCAGCACTTTGGGAGGCTGAGGTGGGCAGATCACGAGGTCAAGATATCAAGACCATCCTGGCCAACATGGTGAAACCCATCTCTACTAAGAATACAAAAATTAGCTGGACGTGGTGGCACATGGCTGTAGTCCCAGCTACTTGGGAAGCTGAGGCAGGAGAATCACTTGAATCTGGGAGGCGGAGGTTACAGTGAGCCGAGATGGCGCCACTGCACTTCAGCCTGGCAAAGAGCGAGACTCCATCTCAAAAAAAAAAAAAAACTAATGTGAGGCCGGGTGTGGTGGCTCACGCCTATAATCCCAGCACTTTGGGTGGATCACCTGAGGTCACGAGTTGGAGACCAGCCTGACGAACATGGTGAAACCCTGTCTCTACTAAAAATACAAAATTAGCCGGGCATCAGCACACATGCTACTGGGAGGCTGAGGCGGGAGAATCTCTTGAACCTGGGAGGCGGAGGTTGCAGTGGGCCGAGATCATGCCATTGCACTCCAGCCTAGGCAACAAGAGCGAAACTCAGTCTCAAAAAAAAAAAAAAAAAAAAAAACTCATGTGAAACTGTCCACATTGCACATTTCATCCCTTTTTTTTTTTTTTTTTTGAGATGGAGTCTCACTCTTGTCAACAGGCTTGAGTGCAACGGCATGATCTCAGCCCACTGCAACCTCCACCTCCCAGGTTCAAGAGATTTTCCCGCCTCAGCCTCCCAAGTAGCTGCGACTACAGGCGCGTGCCACCATGCCTGGCTAATTTTTTGTATTTTTAGTAGAGTCAGGGTTTCACCATGTTGGCCAGGATGATCTCGATCTCTTGACCTCATGATCTGCCCGCCTCAGCCTCCCGAAGTGCTGGAAGTACAGGAGTCAGCCACTGCGCCTGGTCTCATCCTTTGTTTTATACATCTCAGCATTGTTCTTAGATTAACAGTTTCTCCTTTCTTTTCCATTCATCTCTTACATACCTAAGTATTCTACCCTGATTTCTAAGTATAGCTCAATACTTTCTTTTTAAATATTTCATATTTGTATAACACTTTACCTTTTCAAAGCACTTGCACCAGCTATCTCATTTAGCCCTCAGCTTTCCTCTGAAGCACGTGCCATAAATGATATACCATTTAACAAGAGAGGAACTAAGCAGAAAACATGAAAAAGCAGAAAATCGGCCGGGCGCGGTGGCTCAAGCCTGTAATCCCAGCACTTTGGGAGGCCGAGGCGGGTGGATCACGAGGTCAGGAGATCGAGACTATCCTGGATAACATGGTGAAACCCCGTCTCTACTAAAAATACAAAAAACTAGCCGGGCGTGGTGGCGGGCGCCTGTAGTCTCAGCTACTTGGGAGGCTGAGGCGGGAGAATGGCGTGAACCCGGGAGGCGGAGCTTGCAGTGAGCCAGATCACGCCACTGCACTCCAGCCTGGGAGACACAGCGAGACTCCGTCTCAAAAAAAAAAAAAAGAAAAAGAAAAAGCAGAAAATCCTTTATAAAAGACAATTTGGCTAGGATCCCAAGAGCAATAAGTCGTGGAAACATAAACTGGGCCAAGGTCATGATCCTGTGTTGTAGTCGGTGCCCTGACTCTACCTGTGACCAGCTTGTGGATCCTGCTTTGTATTTCCAGTTCCATTCTGTATTATATATTCTTGGTCCTGCTTTGCCCTGCTATTAAGTTATTTAAGATTTCTTGTCTCATTAGATATCAACCTCCCTAATCTTATGTAAAGTGATAGGTAGTTTAGTAGGACTTACTGTTTTCTAATTAGTGTGGTTTTTGTTTCTACCAGGACATAAGATTCTGATCACCCTTGTGATGAATTCAGTAACAGTTCCACCAGAGGTAATCCCTTAGCAGGGAACTTACACTAGACCTGTTTACCAAACAAAAGGCCCTGATATAATAAAATACTAGCATGCAAAGCCCTTGGCAGTCTCCCTTCTGCCTCACCTTAACCTCATTAGCTACCAACCATTGTTTCAGCCACAATTTCTAACCAGTCCCCGTAAAACCTAGCTTTAAATGTCATGTTATTAGAGTGTATATCCACTGTCCCTGATTGTTGCAGTTTTCCACTAATCAGTTCATTCCTTTTTATATCTTTTTGTCTTTTTTTTTTTTTTTTTTTTTTTTTTGAGACGGAGTCTTGCTCTGTCACCCAGGCTGGAGTGCAGTGGCGCAATCTCGGCTCACTGCAAGCTCCGCCTCCCGGATTCACGCCATTCTCCTGCCTCAGCCTCCCGAACAGCTGGGACTACAAGCGCCCGCCACCACGCCCGGCTAATTTTTTTGTATTTTTAGTAGAGACGGGGTTTCACCGTGTTAACCAGGATGGTCCTGATGTCGTGATCCGCCCGCCTCGGCCTCCCAAAGTGCTGGGATTACAGGCGTGAGCCACCGCACCCAGCC